TGCTACATGTAAATTAAAATGATTAAATAATTGTTTTATTTCGATTGATTTATTCAATGAAAACAATACAATTATTATTTTATTTTTTTATTAGTGCTACTCAGTTGTGCAGTGGGTAGCACTGCTGCCTTGCAGCAAGAAGGTTCTGGGTTTGATTCCTGGCCCAGGGTCTTTCTGCATGGAGTTTCCATGTTCTCCCTGAGCATAGTTGGGTTCTCTCCGGGTACTCCGGCTTCCTCCCACAGTCCAAAAGCATGACTGTTAAGTTAATTGGCATCTCTAAAGTTCCCTTAGGTGTGAGTGTGACTGTTAATGGTTGTTTGTCCTTTTCTTCTCTGTGTTTCCCTGCGATGGACTGGAGACCTGTCGAGGGTGGACCCCGCCTCCCGCCTTTAGACAGCTGGAGATAGACACCAGCATCCGTGTGATGGAAAACGGATGAAATGATTGATTTATATTTTTTTTCTAGTTTTATAATGGCATTCCAATATATTTTAAGATCTTTTATTTTAAAGATATAACAGTAGGGTATGTTTTTTTTTTTGCCAAATAATTTCATTGAGATAATATTTGATAAAATTATACTTAAATGATTGCAAAAATTCCAATTATTGACAATAAAATACTAATTTGCTAAGAAAAAAACATGTTTATTTCCAGCTTTATTTTCTTTCTCTGAAACCAATTGAGCATTTCCTTGGCTGTGCGTTTATCGTCATCATCCTGGTAGATGGCAGCACACTTTTATCAAGAATGTCTCTGTACATTTTTTCTTTCATCCTTCTTTTAATTACTTGAGGTGTGCCAGTACCGTATGCTGAAAAACACTCTCACGCCATGATAATCCCACCTCCAAACTTCACTGTTGCTATGGTGTTTTTGAGGTAATGTGCAGTGCCATTTGATCTCCAAACATGATGTATATTATGGCATCAAAAGACTTCAGTTTTGTTTTCATTTGACCAGACTATATTCTCCCACTGTTTCACAGGCTTGTCTAAATGTTGCACAGCAAATTTTAAACAAGCTTTAACATTGCTGTTTCTTCAGCAATGGAGTCTTTTGTGGTGAGCGTGCATACAGGCCATGGAGGTTGAGTGCATTACTTATTGTTTTCTTTGAAAAGATTGTATATGTTATTTCCATGTCTTTCTGAAACTCTCCACTAGTGGTCCTTGATTCTTGGAAAAATCCTCTGATAATTCTTTTCATTCCTCTGTCAGAACTCTTAGGAGGAGCCCCTGGCGGTGGTCGGCTTATGGTGAAATTCTGTTCCTTCCACTTCTGGATTATAGCCCTATTGTGCTCACTGGAACATTCAGAAGTATAGAAATCCTTTTTGTAACCAATGCCATCATGATGATGAGAAAACTCTTAAATTTTACCCATCATGAGATGTTTGTTGTTTGATCCCAGAGACACCTTTATAGACCATCATTTGGGACTGACTAGCTAATATTAATTTGGAATGACAAGTGGCAGGACTGCTTTCTAATTAATGAAAGATTTTGATCAACAACTGAACACAGAATGAATGAATTCGATCATTGGAAGAATGTTTAGGTCTGTAGTTTCTAGAGGAACTTATTTATCTTTTGCAGAATGAAGTAGAATCATCTGCTAACTGGGAAATTTTGGTTTTTCTTTGTCAAAAACACAAATTCCAGTGAAAGAAGTTTTTAATATTTAATAGTTCATGGTTTGGGCAACTACTAGGAAGATGTAAATTCAGACATCTCTGAGCTGTACCATATATCAATTCAACAGAGCTGTTATAGTTTTTTCAATCAGATTTTTCATTCCCTTCACAAAAGTGATGCCAAATTTCAAGTAGGATAAGGAGCAGTGGCGGCTGGTGAAAAATATTTTTGGTGGGGCTGATATAGCCTAGTGTATGTCTCCAACTAATCCAGAATAAGAATTCAAATAAACAATTGGACAATAAATACAATTTAACAGTAATGATTTAATTTACTATATAATAACAGTAACAGTGATGATTTGGGTCACTGTGACGGGGTTCTTTGGCCTCCAAGAATCCAGGCTCAGTCGGGTTACCGGTGTTGGTGATTTATTGTGCTAAAAAACTCAAAACAGGGTGCAAAAGAAACTAAACATGTACAAGATACTCTGGGCCTCAGCCTCCCTCCAGTTACCAGCAATGTAACAAAGAAACAGAAAACAAAAATGGCCGCTCTTCTTCCCACAGCCCTCATTAAATAGTTTAAGCCCCTCCCCTCAGGCTCTCTTATTTCTGATTTCTTCTCATTAATCAGTTTTGTCCATATATTACCTCCACAAACAATTGATGTACAAAAACAAATAATTTTTACAACTTAATTCCTTTACAAAGATTAATTGACTTATTCAATTACACCAAACTTTTAAACATAAAATAAAAAATATATAATCTGACAAACATTTAGCGAGTCACGTGTTGGTGACGTCACTTCCGCATTCCAACAACTCTGGCGTTTTAACCGCTTACTGAGCGTTGCCTCAGGTTTGAACCCAGCAAAGACGCCACCAGACTGAAGATGACAAGTCCCCGTAGCATAAACACGTACACACACACACACACACACACACACACACGGCTAACCCCACTGAAATATTAAGTGTGCACCCTCAATGCGCCAGCAGGTAACCAGCAACAGCTTGTGTGTTTTCAGTTAATGGAGCTACTGGGCTCAGCGCGAGTGTATTGGTCCTCACAAGCACAGTATAACAGGAATGTGTGTGTGGCACACAAAGTTAAAAATAATAATAATACATTTTATTTGTATTGCACTTTACATTTAAAAAAAAAATCTCAAAGGGCTACAAAATTCCTAGTTAAAACAAAACCGTACAATAAAAACAGTATACATAGTTAAAACGAGACATTACAATAAAATAACATACGTAGTAAAAACAAAACAGTAAAATAACCATAAAACCACACGGATAAAATACTAACTAATGTTCAAAGGCCATTTTGAATAAAAATGTCTTGAGGCCTTTCTTGAACGCCTCCACACTCTGTGGGACCCTAAGGGACTCTGGGAGGCCATTCCAGAGTTGTGGGGCAACTGCCCTATCTCCCATTGTGCAGAGCTTGACTCTTGGCTGGTGCAGTCGGTGGGTGGAGGTGGTGGAGCGGAGGGTTCTGGAGGCGGTGTGAGGAGTTCCTTGAGGTAAGCAGGGGCAGTTCCATGTATGCACTGGTGAGTGAGGAGGCAAAGTTTGTAATGTAAGAGTTAGAGAGGTTGTTTTAAGTGACGAGGTGGATTTGTCACAGTCACAATAACCATGACATGAAATTTTCATATCCTTCAACAGGGATGTTCTTCTGGCAAACGGGTAGATAAATAAGGATCTCACCGAATTTGGTGGAAGCTGCACCTCGCTCGTTACGTTCGCCATCGTCCCTCTAATTGTCTGCACCTGCACATTGGGTGCAGAAGCCTGTTAAAGGGCAGTATTTTCAGAGCCCCAAGACCATACAATTCTGAGACGCTGATTGGCCATTAAATTATTAAATTGACCTAGAAATAGTACATGATTGGCAGATTCTCTGCACTTGGGGGGCAGCACCCCAAGACAGAGAAGGTAGGAGTCTGTCTGTGGAAATCCACAAATGAATGACAGTAGATAAGGAAATGTAGTTTATATAATTTGTTTTGCTTATAGGTACACACTCTAGAGCAGAGGTCTTCAACAGGGGGTCTGCGACCCCAAGGGGGTCCGCGGAGGTACTGCATGGTGGTCGCGAAAGTCTTGGTTGATTACTTTTTTTTAACATTCCCTCCTGCAATTTTTTGCACTAATTAAAATGTCTTTAAATACACATTAACATGAATTCAACACACTGTAGTAAACAGATAAATGAAAGCAGAAGATGTCTTTCAGTCATCAATGCACACATTCAGCGACACACAGGAGCTCTTTCAAACCTGGGCACCGTTTCATTGACAACACCTGTCCCATCAACCAGGAATCAGAATCAGAAATAGTTTAATAATCCCAGGGAGAAATTACTTTCGTTACAGGACTCCATATGTGACTATAGGACCTGTTTTATATAACACAATTTCATACAATATATATAATTAGGGGGTCCCCGCTCCATCTCGCAATCAGTTTGGGGGTCATTGGCCTCGAAAACATTGAAGACCCCTGCTCTAGAGAGTAAAACTGACATTTATGAGTTAGTTTGTAAAAATATATTTTACGTTTCTCTCTTCTTATCAGGGAGGGCGGTGCCCCAGCGCCCCCTATGGACCGGCCACCACTGCGTTGTATACCTAATGTTCTCCTTATGTCAGTTAAAAACAGTATATCTAATTTCTCAATTCCAAGACTCCGTTAGCTTCAAATTGAGCATGTGGACATTAGAGATAATAAATGCACCAATAGGTTCTTGAATCAATATTTTATATATAATATGTACCCTGGTGGAACTAAACGTACATTTCTCTTACAACATTTTAACAAATCTACAATAATCAAAATTAGGACAAATTATTTGAAATTCCCAATTCCTCCTAAATATAAAGAATTACAATTTAAAATAATAAATGACATATATCCTTCAAATGAGTACTTAAGAGAGAGATTTAAACTCAATGTTGGGAATTGTGGTTTCAATTGGAAACTACTAATCATTTGTTTTATGGATGTAAAGAAGTTAAAAACCTATGGGATCTACTTTAGATCTTTCTATCTTCTAGATCTATAAATGTGGACTTTAATTCCTTACAACTAATTCAGTTTGGTTTATATATTAATGAAAAAAAGGTGGAATTGTTAGTTAATACTTTGATGATTATAACCAAATATTATATCCATAAATGTCGTTATGCAAAACCTTACAGCGAATAAATTGTCCGATTTATTGGATGAATTTCAGTTAGTCCCCTCTTCCTAATTTATTTTAGTGTGCACGCTCGCGCGCTGCCATGGAAACGGTCACCGTCTAGAAGTTGCAGTTGGTCTTTCTAACTTTCTAACCTGGACATTGAAGATTGAAGTTGCTGCAGTCTGTGCTTTGCTGACCCGCCAAAGATGAACATCGGATCGGAAGACGACAACTTGTTGGGGAATCATCCGGAAGGTTTATATCCCTCTTTTGCAATGTTATTGAAAAAAATGTTGCATGAAAATTATTAATTTCCTGTTTTCGTCATGAAGTTGTGTCAGCTAGCATCTAGCATCTTTGACATGTCAGAGATTAAAGTTTTTCTTAGTCAATGAAATTGGTCAGGAATGTTAAAAGTTATTTAATAATTTGGGGAAAAAAACTTATTTCTGTTTGAGAGAAAAACTTTTGTTGAATTTGATGTGAAATATTTAAAAACTTGGTGGCAATAGGTCTACTATTTTTAAAAAATGCCCCAAAATATGTTTGTTTTTTATGGATATGTTGGTGAAATTACATTAAATAAATATAAAAAAGACATTTAAAGGACATTTAACATAGGATATTTTTGAAAGAAAATGTTTATTTTTCCCCATTTAATAAAAAAAAAAAGATAATTTTGAGTATTTTGGAAGTTGACTGAATTTTACAACTGGAAAAAAAGGAGATGAGGATTCTCAGGTTTATTAGTTTAGTAAATGGATTTAGGAAATTCTTTGTTATATTTTAGTTTATTAAATAAAGTTTATAAGGGGTATTATGTATTAAATTGATTTTCATTGGTTGGAAAAGGGAGGAATGATAACAGAGATGTAATCATGCAAAATATAAAAAAATTGTTTGATGAATTTAATGTGGAAATGGTTAAAGAAATGCAAAATAAATAGTTTAAGGATAAAACAGATTCTGTTAAATACACCTGAACTTAAAGGCAGGTATTTTTAAAACATGCAGGTGCAAACATTTTGGTCTCCATGGATACTTCAGTAGAACGCATTAAACAACTTTAGGACTTTTTAAAGAGGGCATATATTTTTATTTTAATGGAAGGTCAAAGGTGTTAAAATGTTTCAGTGACTTTCTGGTCAGTTTTAGGTGAGTTTGATGTTCAATCCTTGGAAAACAAGGTGGGATCTGGCCCCTTCGGTCAGAGGTTATATAAATGAAATGAACCCAAAATATTTAGCAGTTGATTAAAAATCAGATCCTTTACATTTTTAGGCTGTAACATGTTTAGAACTGACTGAGGAACTGATCGTGTGACGAAAGAATAAAGAATAAATGTTTTATTTAGATTTTAGAAAGGAGGATGATACGTTTATTTAACAGGGACGAGGTAGAATTAAAACAATTGGAACAATCCATTATTTAAAGGTTTTTCTGAGCTGAATCTGAATTTTTCTGAAGCCCTTGTTTGAATTTCAGGTGAATGTAAATTATTTCATCCCATCTGTCACCAGTAGTAATATTAGTTCATAGAGGACTCTATCATGTTCTAGATCTTCAAAACATTCAACACTGGATGGTTTCCCCTAAACCTTTAAAAGTTTTCTATAGGACACCTCTTTGTTAGAGTTTTAGGAAGAAGAATACAATTTCCTCTAAATAGTTTTTTAATTAAGTTTGCTAATGTCCATTTCTGCTCTTTGCTTTCTCTGTGTCTTAATGAAGGTCTTTATTTCTACTCTTGGATGCTCTGATGAAGGGCTCTGATAAGCTGAGCCTCTGATTCTGAGAAATTAGAGAACTGATAGAAATAAATAAATCGACCATTTTAAGTCTATTTTTTGTTTTGATAACATTCTGGAAATAAATTCTAAACCCTATAAAGCAGTAAAATAAACATTTACATTTAGAATAAAGCTAAAGTGAAATGGTAATGTTGTGATTATTCTTGCGTGTGTATTTTTGTATGTATATATTGATGTATGTATCAGTTTTTCTTTTAACACTAACCAAACCACTAGCATTGTTTCTATGTTTTTAATGAGTAGTTTTAGCTCACAGATTGATGTTCTTATTGAATCAGCTTAAAACTGTCAAATTCACATCCAGCAACCTAAATTAAAGCTTTTAGTTTTGTCATTTAATGCTCCTTAATTAACGCTCCTGGTCTAATGATTGTTCTCCTCACAGCTTCAGACGCCCCGCTTCCATCTGATCCTGCCCCGGAGCCCCGGGTCCAGACGGAGGATCAGGTTCATTTCCATTATTTTAATATTACCATAGAGCTGTACTCTACTGATGATGAGGATGATTTTACTGATGAAGATGAGGAGGGGGAGGTAGACGTCGAAGCGGTACAGGAGGTTGAGTATGAAGAGGATGAGGATGTCAGCTCTTTTTCTGGGGAGTCTCTTGAGGTGTCTAGTGAGTTCTCTGGGTATGATACCGTGACCTCTGAGGAAGAAGACGATGAAGACGATGTCCTCCTTTCACTACGCCTTCGGTTCACCCAGAGGAATCCCCCCAACTGCAGACCCCCATCGAACCAAGAGCAGCCAGAGGAATCCCCGGAAGGCCAAGAAGACCACCCACCTGGAGGGACCGGCTCTGTCTCCAGGAGAAGGACGAGAGAGGAAGATGATGAAGAGGAGCCGTCTGGGAAGAGGCCTTGTCGTAGAAGAGAAGCTGAGGATTAAGCAGAAGAACCAAACCCTTCCCATCTTCCTTTGGATCATCTTCCGGGAAAATCTAGATGTACTTGATGACAATTGGAGGTGGAAAGGCTGAAAGACTGGAAACAGTCACAGAATGTAGATAGAATTTATTGATTGTTTTTATATCTGGCAGGTCTAGGGATGCCTTAGGTAGCGACTTGCACCGTGGCTTTTCTTTCCCCCGCTGCTAGATTTGGTTTTCTAGATGTTAAGGAGTCTGGCAGGTCTAGGGATGCCTTAGGTAGCGACTTGCACCGTGGCTTTTCTTTTCCCCGCTGCTAGATTTGGTTTTCTAGATGTTAAGGAGTCTGGCAGGTCTAGGGATGCCTTAGGTAGCGACTTGCACCGTGGCTTTTCTTTACCCCGCTGCTAGATTTGGTTTTAAGTTTTAGATTTTAAGAATTTGCCTTCAGCACAAACATCTGAGCAGAGACTGAGGACATGCTATCAACTTTAAATGGTGTGGAACAAGAGAGCTGGTTAAGGCAGAAACAATCCTAACATGCTCTACATCTAATGTGAAACACGAGACAATCTCCTAGCAACAAAAGGCAACCCAAACAATCCAAGGCTTGATTAAAGAACAGAGAAGAAGAAGAAGAAACACAGAATGGAAGCAAACGAACAACAAACAGACGAACCACAAGGAGGCAAACCAAGGCAATAGATGGACATCGCTGCTGGGGACGCATCAAAACCAATAAGGAGTGAGGCGGCACTGCTTAGGACTAAAATGCAGGAGGTCAGACTAAAATCCTAAAGGTCTAAACGTGGAGCTGAGGACACCTTAAAGTCTAGAGCAGAGGGACAGCAGAGGGACAAGGCTGTGGTTTGGACCGATTAGACGCCCCCTAGAGCAGAGCTTCCTAACTCCAGTGTTTCTGTAGCTTTCAGATGCATCTCTCCTCCAACACACCAGGATCAAACTAAAAACCTCTTACCAGTCCTCTGCAGAGCTGAATGACTGATGAGGGAATTCAGCCATTATATTCAGGTCTGATGGAGAAGAGATGGCTAAAAGCTGCAGCATAGCAGCTCTGGAGGAGTGGAGTTGGAAAGCCCTGATCTAGACGATGCTGCTGGCGACAAACTGGACCTAGAATGGAAGAGTGACAGCTTGTGGTGGTCATCAGTTGAACTGGTCTCTGGGATGTTGGTGAGAAGGTAAAGAGACAAGGCTTGGAGGGACTCATTGATTCCAGATCACTTTGAGGCAGAGGACAGGACTGATGTAGGGATTTGGGTGGTGAATGGCGCAGACTGTTAGAAACCGCTTTCAGCTGTGACTTGATCTGGTTCTAGATGTTCCTCTGGTTAACTTGTTCTCAGGCCTAGTTTGAGGGAAAGAACCCTCTGCAGAAACTCTCTCCATATGATCTAGGCCTGTTCTGACCGCAGCCGATCTCTTCTGTCTCTTTTGATCGAGCCTCCACAAGTTTTTGGCCTTCAGAAGATGCTGACTAGATCTACAGCGACCAAACCAGAGGAGCAAGATCTGAGCTGCTGACTTTTACAAAGAGTGAGAGCATGTTCAGTAAGGAGCAACAAGAATCCATCATTTAAATATTAAGTCAACATTTCAGGTGGCCTCACTTCATTTTCTGTTTGTTCAGACTCTGTAGACGTCCAAAAGCAGAACTGCTGTGAGGAACCCGGGACATCAAGGATGGCGAGGAGCTTCCCCGGCTTCACCTGAGGAGACGACAGAGAAAGACTGGGACAGGACAAAAAAGGTGAGTCAGATTTTATGAACTTGACAAACCGACAACTCAAGCTTCCCAGGCCTGATTCAAGGCTAACAGTCATTGAAACATAGAAAGACCAAGATTACTATAAAAACAACATCCTGTGCCACATTTAAATAGGTCCATCCACATATGTTTGGAGGAATGTTGGTTGATTTTTGACTAGAGAGGCATCACAAGCAGACAGTTTCAGACTCTGAGGACGCTTTGCTTTGATTGATGAAGGAGCTGAAGCAGAGGTTGGAGCACACAGACCACTAAGGAGGAGAAACATGGCTCCCCTGCTCGTCTCTCCAACATTCTGGAGTCCTGGACTGAAAAACGTTGAAGACCCTGCAGCTAAACCATCAGTCTGCTACATCCAGTCAGAGAAGGTAACAAACTTTTATTGCTTCCAGAAGCTCATCAGTATTGGTGAAGATACTAAAACCGATCCAGAACAAACAGATTCAAAAGCCACAACAAGGCGCTCTAACCTTTAATCGTTATCTTTCCATCATGAATGGATGTTCTCCTCAGTGTTTATCTCTGGAAACAAACCTTTACCAGAACCAGAAGGTTCTTACTTTTCCATTAGACCACAGATAAACGGTTAAGGAGCAGCTTCTGATCCAATATGGGAGAATTTCCCCCTGGTTGATCTCTGAGGTTTATTTAATTTTTTAAAATTTATTATTATTATTATTATTAAAGCAGAGAAATTACCCTGATGAAACTGACTGAAGACTCCAACAAATGCAGCATTTTCAGGCATTTTTTCCAAGCATCCGTTGTCTACAATTATCAAAGCTGTTAACTTTAAAGTGGTAGGGAAGTTATGTTTACATGTCAAATCATTCTTGCTTAAACACTAATATAAATCTTCTCTTTATCAGATTAAATTGTCCCAAAAGTTAGAAAACTTCTATTAAAAAAAAAATCCTGTCTTAAAATCTGTGTTTTTTTTCGTTATCTTCTGCAGACCAGTTAGTTCTACGTCAGCCTGAACACCTAAAATCAACCAATCATATATCAACAGTCTGTCAATGAAATGTTTTTGGTCATAGCATCTTGATTCATGTCGCAGCTAATATGTAACGGTTGAAATCAGAATCCTTTCCTTTCCCATTGAGTTGCGTCCCAGTGTTCACGGGGATGGACGTCTGTGTCTTCGGCAGGCGTAGAGCTAACAGAACTGGCAGCGTTGCGAGGCAAGGGCTCAAACATGGACGGCTGGAAGCCTTCTAGTCAAGGCAAGGCAATTTATTTGTATAGCACAATTCAGTACACAGACAATGCAAAGTGCTTTACATGATTAAAATACAGGAAGATAAAACAGAATCAAAGCAAGTAGGAAAAAATAAAAAAATAAATAAAATAAAATACAAAATGCTGAAACAAAAAAGAATATTAAAAACAGTTGGACTAAAGAAAATATGTTTTAGTTGAACTGTTTAACTAGAACCGTCGAAGGCAATCCTAAACAAATGTGTTTTTAGTCTTGATTTAAAGGAACTCAGGCTTTCTGCACTTTTACAGTTTTCTGGAAGTTTGTTCCAGATAAGTGGAGCATAGGAACTAAATGCTGCTTCTCCATGTTTAGTTCTGGTTCTAGGTATGCAGAGCAGGCTGGAGCCAGAAGACCTGAGTGGTCTGGAGGGTTGATACACTGATAGCAAGTCTGTGATGTATTTAGGTACTAAGCCATTCAGAGGTTTATAGACTAACAGAAGTATTTTAAAGTCTATTCTCTGAGATACAGGGAGCCAGTGGAAGGACTTTAGAACTGGGGTGATGTGCTCTACTTTCTTAGTCTTAGTGAGGACACGGGCAGCAGCGTTCTGGATCAGCTGCAGCTGTCTGATCCACTTTTTAGGCAGACCCTTGAAAACACCGTTGCAGTAATCAATTCGACTAAAAATAAACGCATGGATTAGTTTTTACAGATCATGCTGAGACATTAGTCCTTTAATCCTGGATTAACACCAAACCAAGCTTCTGCCACCCTGGCGTCCTCTTCCACAACATCTTCGTCCCCGCTTTCCTCCTCTAAATAAAAAATGGATGACGGAGGAGACTCATCCACGACCTCCGACACTAAACTTTCCTCCTCTTGCATGTTTCCACTCTCCATAGCGTTCCTTGACAGTGTCGTTTCTAAGTCACCAATTTAGTGCTACTTGGTCCCAATGGAATTTCCCATTAGGAACCGGCTAGCACTAAGTTGCTAACTGGTTAGCAAGATGCTTCCGACAAACCGACCAGAACCAAACTGAAGAAACTGGATTGAAGATGTTTCTCTAAACGCCATAAAAACTGAATTTATCTTCACCGTGTTGTAAATAGGATCTAACTGGATGTTTGTGTTGAATTCTTTTATGTTTCTGTATTAATTTTTTCATTTAAACTGCCTTGAGATGACATTTGCTGGGACTTGTTTTTTTTATTTTATATTTATAAATAATAATTTTTATTTTATATTTATATATATATTTATTCTATTATATAAATGCGGGGGGGGGGGGGGGGGGGGTACTGGGTCTGGTTCAATTGAAGGTTCCTTCCTGTCATCTTCACCTGTTATTTATTGCCATATAAAGATTTGATTGGATTAATGTGAACAGGATCTGTTGGTCTTTTTTTGTAAATGTTCTTGAAATAAGTGGTTGTAAATTGTTTCTCTATAAATAAAACAAACTGAAGTCAACATGATCAACATGTCTAATATTACTAAGGTACAGCACTTTGGCAGATCAGTGGTTATTATTGTTTTCAGGGAGTGGGGGGTCTTACCTGACAGCACATGTTAACAGAACAATTGTTGTGGTTGCCTGGCAGCGTCGGAACAACTTAGCTCTACAAAAGGACACAGAGATGTTCCACCTGCAGTTCTTCTGATTTTATGGATCTTATCGACAATCTGGGAGTTAAGCAGCAAAGCAGACAGGCCATGACATCACTAAGCCATACAAATAACAATAAACAAAAATGGGAGGATAATTAAAGATGAATGTTAAAATAAAACAATAAAAAAAGCAGTCAACTAAAGGATGATAGTAGGAACTAAATGTAGAAACAGCTTTGCTTAATTTGAACAAAACTTGGTCCAAAGGTAATTTTCTCTTCTTTAAACTATATATTTAGATCTTTACCACACTTGGTCCCTCAGGGTTGCATTGTAGACTCCTTTAAGCAGAAACCAACTAATTAATATTTCCTGGTCTATATTCTATCAGAGGAAACTGATTAAAATGGGTTGATTATCCTAAACTCACATTAAAACTGGTTTTGGAATAGATATAGCAGCTTAAAATCAACATCTGGAACCTCGGCCAGTGTCGTGTCTGAATGATCCTGTTTTGGATGCATCTTTATTCAAGCGCACCTTAATCAACATGATCTGTCACCATGATGCATCTGCTAAAAAAATGTCTCATCTGTTGCCGTTTATCATTATTATTATATTATTATTATATTATTACAGTATTATCATAATTTTAAATCGACTCTTAGTTCATTTGCTGTTTTTAGTGTAATTATTGTTTTAAAAATAATTTCAAGTCCACAAGCATCATCATTCACATTTCCCCCTAAATGTTTACATAATGACATATGTTTACTTTACTTATTGGCTGCATCTAAAAATATCAAAGATATTTTCAATTTAAACATAGATATGAAATGATACAATATAACCTACAATAACTTAAATGATATCATTGCACTAGGTCATCAAATCAATTCAGTTCAGTCTGTCAAATAAGTTGCCTGTAGTGTCTTTAAATGTCCAGCAGGTGTCAGTATTCTGTGAGACAGTATCAACGCAGGATCAATACAGTTTGGCAATGCTGATGAAGGTTCTCAGTCATCCAGGTCATAGTCATTCCGTAAAAATTCAAAAAATATCCACTGGACTTGGTTTTCAAGATTTGAAGACGTTTCGCCACCTCTCCAGGAAGCTTTCTCAATTCAAATGTCTGGATCCGCAGTGAGTTTGAGTCTTATATAGACAAAGCCTTGTATTGCTTGGAAACATGCAATGGTAACCGATGAATGGGT